CTGGGCTCTGGTGCAGACGGTTGCCTCGATCACCATCGGCACATGCGGGGCCTGGAACGGGCAGTTGCCTCGACCACCATCGATAGAAGATGGCCCCTGGTGCAGGCAGTTGTGTCGAACACCATCAGCACACGCTGGGCCCTGGTGCGGGCGTTGGCCTCGAACACCATCGGCACGTGCTGGGCCTTGGTGCGAGAGGTTGCCTCGAGCACCATCGGCACAAGCCGGCCCATGGTGCAGGCTCTTACCTTAACTGCCCGCACTAGGGCAACCTCTCGCACCAAGAGGGACATCCACGTCGGGCTTTCTCCACCGTTCGGTCGGTGCGTCGAGGCCCACGCGATGCCAATGTCCCGAAGGAATGCTACCTAGTTGATCCTGCCAGTAGTCATATGCTTGTCTCAAAGATTAAGCCATGCATGTGTAAGTATGAACTAATTCAGACTGTGAAACTGTGAATGGCTCATTAAATCAGTTATAGTTTGTTTGATGGTATCTACTACTCGGATAATCGTAGTAATTCTAGAGCTAATACGTGCAACAAACCCTGACTTCTGGAAGGGATGCATTTATTAGATAAAAGGTCGACGCGGGCTATGCCCGTTACTCTGATGATTCATGATAACTCGACGGATCGTACGACCTTTGTGCCGACGATGCATCATTCAAATTTTTGCCCTATCAACTTTCGATGGTAGGATAATGGCTTACTATGGTGGTGACTGATGATGGAGAATTAGGGTTTGATTCCGGAGAGGGAGCCTAAAAAATGGCTACCACATCCAAGGAAGGCAGCAAGCGCACAAATTACCCAATCCTGACATGGAGAGGTAGTGACAATAAATAACAATATCGGGCTCTCTGAGTCTAGTAATTGGAATGAGTACAATCTAAATCCCTTAACGAGAATCCATTGGAGGGCAAGTCTGGTGCCAGCAGCTGCGGTAATTCCAGCTCCAATAGCGTATATTTAAGTTGTTGCAGTTAAAAAGCTCGTAGTTGGAACTAGGGTTGGGTCATCCGGTTCACCGTACGGTAAACACCGGTCTACTCGTCTCTACTGTCGGTGATGCGCTCCTGGACTTAATTACCCTAGTCATTCCTTCGACGCTATTACTGTGAAGAAATTAGAGTGCTCAAAGTAGGCCTACACTTGTATACATTAGCATGGGATAACATCATAAGATTTCGGTCCTATTGTGTTGGCCTTCGAGATCGGAGTAATGATTAACAGGGACAGTCAGGGGCATTCGTATTTCATAGTCAGAGGTGAAATTTTTGGATTTATGAAAGATGAACAACTGTGAAAGCATTTGCCAAGGATGTTTTCATTAATCAAGAATGAAAGTTGAGGGCTCAAAGATGATCAGATACCGTCTTAGTCTCAACCATAAACAATACCGACCAGGGATCGGTGGATGTTACTTTTAGGACTCTGTCGGCACCTTATGAGAAATCAAAGTCTTTGGGTTCCGGGGGGAGTATGGTCGCAAGGCTGAAACTTAAAGGAATTGATGGAAGGGCAACACCAGGAGTGGAGCCTGCAGCTTAATTTGACTCAACACGGGGAAACTTACCAAGTCCAAACATAGTAAGGATTGATAGACTGAGAGCTCTTTCTTGATTCTATGGGTGGTGGTGCATGGCCGTTCTTAGTTGGTAGAGCGATTTGTCTGGTTAATTTCGTTAACGAATGAGACCTTAGCCTGCTAAATAGCTACGCGGAGGTGATTCCTTCGTGGCTAGCTTCTTAGAGGGACTATGGCTGCTTAGGCTAAGGAAGTTTGAGGCAATAACAGGTTTGTGATGCCCTTAAATGTTTTAGGCCGTAGGTGCGCTACACTGATGTATTCAACGAGTCTATAGCCTTGGACGACAGGCCCGGGTAATCTTTGAAATTTCATCATGATGGGGATAGATCATTGCAATTGTTGGTCTTCAACGAGGAATTCCTAGTAAGCATGAGTCATCAACTCACGTTGACTACGTTCCTGCCCTTTGTACACACCACTAGTCACTCCTACCGATTGAATGGTCTGGTGAAGTGTTCAGATCACGGTGATGTGGATAGTCCACCGCCCGCGACGTCACGAGAAGTCCACTGAACCTTATCATTTAGGGGAAGGAGAAGTCGTAACAGGGTTTCCGTAGGTGAACTTGCGAAAGGATCATTGTCGAAATCCCGCTCGACGGATGACCCGTGGGCGCGTTAAAGAAACACCGAGAGGGTGAGGGTGGCCCAGTGCCCTAAGCCCCCTTCGACCCTGGGCAGGCATGACGGTCGCTCTATCTTCCCTTTGGGGCAGGCGAAACGATCGACGTCGTCTCGCTCGCCACCGAGCAATGAACCCCCAGTGCGAATCGCACCAAGGAACCGAAACAAAAATGGAGCGCGTGCGCCGTTACCATCCCGTTCGCGGTGCGTGCGTGGGCAGCACCGTGACTCCTTTTGTCGTGAAAAAATGAAACGACTCTTGGCAACAGATATCTCAGCTCTCGC